TCGATAAAGTCATTTGAAAACTTAAAACACACAAACGAAGATCGACACCAGTTTATGTTTACAAACGTAGCTACACCGCCACCACGCCTCTTTTTTATTGTTTGATCGATCCTGACGATAAATTATGAAATCACGTAGTGATACTATGCAGTCATCCTGTAAATCATTTAACCAAGATTCTTGAATTGTGATGACACCACAATTACGATACATATTTTGACTTAGTAGGAACTGCAGGTAGTCCACTTTATTGATTAGCGATCGACAGTTAGAATTTAGGAGCTCTGGAATCGACATACGATTAATATTCATTCTCTTTAACGCATATTGCCAACCACCACGATGTCTCTTATAGTACTGTTTTGTAACCTGTGCAGCGAAAGGTCGTAGGCTTTTCATAAAAGCGCCTGAAAAGGTTATTCAATTAATGGACATAATTATCAGTTAAAACAAACGAAAAAAACAGATAACTTGTTGAAATAATCAGATGGCAGAAACAGGTACCCCAGATATTTAAGCAGGGCGCCTAAAAAAACAATATCGCATATACATGAGAAAATGCAGATAAAGACAGCCAGTGTAGCAGCAGTGTCTGCATATGTAAGCCTCAACATACACAAAAGAAACACCAAGATCCTCAAATACAACACGGAGAACACCAACCCAATCATATTTAATGGCGAGACTCTGGGAGATGTAGAATCCTTAACGTACCTGGAAGGATGGTCAGATGCAGACGTAAAGGCGAGGAGTGGCAAAGCAATGACAGCATTCCTACAGCTGAAGAACATATGGAACTCAAAACAACTCAACCAATATCAAAATGAGGATCTTCAATACGAACGTCAAGGCAGTCAGTTCTACTGTACGGAGCTGAAACATGGAGAACTACAACAACCACCATCAAGAAGGTACAAGTATTTATAAATAACTGTCTACGCAAGATACTCAACATCCATTGGCCGGATACCATCAGCAACAGTCTACTGTGGAAGAAAACAAACCAGCTTCCAACTAGAGAGGAAATTAGGAAAAGACGATGGAAATGGATAGGACATACATTGTGGAAATCATCAAACTGCATCACGAGGCAAGCCCTAACTTGGAATCCTGAAGGGAAGCGGAAAAGAGGAAGGCTGAAGAATACATTACGTCGGGAAATAGAAGCAGATATGAAAAGGATAAATAGGAGCTGGAAAGGATTGCCCAGGACAGGGTTGGATGGAGAATGCTTGTGAGCGGCCTATGCTCCTTCACGAGGAGTAACAGGCATAAGTAAGTAAGTAAAATCGGATATTGTGATTCACACAAAAACAAGAAAGTCGACTAAATATGATTTGAGAACCTTCAAAGCATAGAAGGTATAACATACTAATGAGCATATAGTTTAGAATTTTGATTCCTTTGGTCAACACCTCTTTAACTATCGTTTATCCATTTGCTGTAATTACTTAAAACAAATCACTATCGAAGTTTCTTTAAACTATAAATAACAAGTTTGACTATTGACTCTTCACTGATAGGGTTTTCATTCTTTTGTATTTTTATTATTGATGTAGTTAAATCTAGAAATATCACATGAACTATAAATGTTTTCAGTTGATTGTCATTTAGAATTGACCTATAAAAATTATTAAGACCAAATAAAAATTGATGAGGAAAAAGAGAATAGTTATCTAGCACATGAGGCTAAATAATTTCGATGACGCGATAAGATGAATCTTGTTACTTGGAACCCATATGCATTTACACTTTAAAATTGAATAGCATCAATCCATTAAGCAGTCGTCAACGAAGGACCCGATATGCATGTGCATTAGTTCCAGTTACCACAGTTAGTCAGCTACAACGTAGGACCAGGCACATATGTGCATCGGTCCAGGTTGACATACCGCATCAGCACAACAAGATGAACACCGGATTCACAGCAGTGGTTAGGTCAAAAGTGGTAATATATAAGAGAAAGATTGCATATAGAGATATAGTACAAGAAGAAATAATTGGTTCGTAGAAAGAAAGATATGAAGTGATTTTAATCTCTTAGTTTAAGGGAAGACAGAGAATGTATACATCGACGCCATTGTGATCGATTCTGAGCCATGTCACCAAGAGTCTCCAACCATTGGTTACGAAAGTCACGCGGACCCCAACCAAGTAGTCTGCATCTACCAACATGGCTCAGACTAGAAGTTAGTAACCTCAAGCACTGATACCAAGTTTTGGTTTGGCCGCCCCTAACTTTCTTCCAACCATCTCCAATACCGGTTAGCATTGCACGTCGTGGTAGTCGGTGTTCAGGCATACGTAACACGTGGCCCAACCATCTCAGTCGATGAAGATTCACAACATCATCAACTGATTTACCATCGTTCCCTAATACCCCGCGTCGAACCTCACTATTACTTACCCGGTGATCCCAGTAGATGCGAGCAATATTACTAAGGCATCTGTGGTCAAATACTAGTAGCTTACGAGTATCTTCTACTCTTAATGACCACGTTTCTCAGCCGTAAAGTAAAACAGAACGGACTGCCGCGCAGTATACCCGTCCTTTTAATGATAGCCGGATATCTCGCCTTCGCCAAATTTGACGCAAGTTGGCAAAAGCCAAGCGAGCTTTTCGAATCCGTGCTGAGATTTCGTCAGACACCAACCCATTAGGGCTGATCAGACTTCCAAGATAAGTGAAGTTATCGACGCGTTCGACTACTTCACTCCCTATCCTTAGTTCAGGTGTTGACGCAGACCAGTCCCGAAGCAACAACTTGCATTTAGAGGGAGGGAAGCGCATTCCAAACATTCTGGCATTGTTGCTTAGTGCTACCAAAGGACTCTGCATTTTGTCAGCGTCTTCACCAAACAGGACTATATCATCTGCGTATTCTAAGTCGATAAGTGGACCTCCTGGAAGGAGATCAATACCCGAGAATTCAGTCGACGAGAATGTTATTTCCATCAATAGGTCTATGATGAAGTTAAACAAAAATGAGGAAAGTGGACAGCCTTGACGGACACCACTTGAGGTTGCAAAATCAGATGACAGTTCGCCATAAGCTCTGACTTGACTAGTAGTGTTCGAGTAAAGAGCCTTCACAAGGTTTATGTACTTCTGTGGTACGCCTTTCAATGACAGACACTGCCACAGAATCTCGCGGTCTACCGAGTCAAATGCTGCTTTTAAGTCGAGGAAGACCACCATTGTCGGCCATTTACCACAATTCAGATCAGATAAACAAGAATTTAATATGATGAGAAGCATAGGATGGAAAACATTGAAAACAACGAGAATTCGGACATAAAGAAAGAACGAAAAAACAGTTATGACACTCGATTCCAGGCTAGAACGTTTGACATTTGCGTCACTGTGATCAATGACGTACCAGATCACTTGATATTTGTATGCAACAAAATAGAAGACCGGAAATTTTCTATGCAACACGCGACTAATCCCAGAGAAACTAAAACTGAGAATATATAGTTGAGAATGAGTGAATGAAAAATATGATTCTATAGTAAATTCCTTCCGGTTTAAAAATTAATAAAGATAGATCTCATAAATCCGAAAATTATACATATCCACAAAGTAGTCACCAGTGTACAAAATGTTTCATTTTCAAAATAATGGAAATTTCTAGCTCAAAAGGATAATTCTGTTTGAGTTTGCGTTCCCCTATCTGTTTGGTTTAATTTTGATAAAAACCAGGGAATTTTTAGAAGCTTGGTACTCAGATCAGTCGCTGATCGATAAACGTGTCTATATCAAACCTATAACAATCACAAGCAACTGTAAGGTGAAGAGTTAGGTCAGGGTGGAAGACAAATAAATATGTAGATAATTGCAGGATGAGTGCCGGCAACAACCAACCAGAATCAAGATTACTAGAGCGATCCGTTAGCCGATACATTTGATGATTTCACTATTGTTTGTACTGATCATATCATCTAATAAGTCAATAGATGCTTCACGATCAAATTACTAATTTCACAGTACTGTTGGATTTCTACTTATCGGTAGTTTAAAAACATCATACTTGACATATAACGTGTATATCCTGAACTCTTATTGCTAAGGAGTTCGAAACTGAAATGTGACAGTCATGTGGTGTTATCCGATTTTCAATAATTTCCCACGTGATATTAATCTATAGTAAATACTGATTTACAATTATTTGTTGGAATGGTAATAAAAAACGAAGACTTTTTGTTGATAAACTTAGTGATTTTGTACCACAATTATTCGTGTTCGAGGTTTCTGTTCTTGTTTGCTGAAAAAATGTGGTACACACTTAATCGAATGATATTATTCTATAAAAGTTAAGCAATGGGGGCTTCTATAAGTATAGCCTGTTCTATGGAATAGTGGGTTCGTGGTTAGATCACATCATTTAAACAATTAGCTAGCAGGTTTGAACCCTTTACCTTCACATACTTCTGTTAGGGAAATCTTGAAATAATGTTACACGAAGTAGATTATTGATGTATTGGGAGTCAACTAAACTAATAATACTGAAAGGTATTGTTTGTTAATAGGTAGTTAACCGTCTGGCCGCAATGTACAAGAGACAACTGCATGAGACTAAATAGTTCCTGATGTTGTTAGCAACATATTTTAAGGGCCTTGTCACTAGTGACGAAAATCTATGTGGAATAAAGCAAACTATCTTGTTTTTAGTCCTGGTCTTTTCTAACTACCACGTTCTGTCATGGAAAGACTACATCACTGTAGATACTGGTTATCTAAGGCAAATGCCTTACTGCAATCAGAACTGTAGTACAGTGAGGAAAATGACTTCGTCGTTAGACTTTAAGTTAATGCCTTTAGTCCTGCTGTTCTCCAACCAACCTGCATGACATAAAATGACAGTTCCATACAATATAACTCGATTGAGTCATCATAGTGTCCTACTTAGATCACCACGACCACCCCATCAATGTAGTAACTACAGTCAGTCGTTTATCTTCTTATATTATCACGTCTATTTTTATTTCTTCATTCATAGGGATGGTGAATTAAAACGAAACAGACCAAAAGACACATTGAAACATGCACAACAAAAATATGTTAGTCAATATGTCATACCTGCTGACTCACATTCATCCTCTACATAAAAAGCTGATCTATCCTGTATACACACCCAACCACACATGTGAAATTTTTCTACTACAACTTTGATCTTGCATTCTCTGTTGAATCCTACCAAATTGTTATTGTTTATTTTTGAATTAATATTTTACATTTGAATTTGTAGTTATCTTACAATTTAAATTCTCCTTAGTTCACACACATTCCTCTGTTTTATATTATTATTATTATTATCAAAAGAGAGTTCATCCAGAGCAAGTGAAATCACGCTTTTCTATTTTGCAACAATTCATTGTTCTTTTCTTGTTTTCCTGTATTTGAGATTGAAACTTTTCTAATCCTCTTACTTTTGTATTTGTTATTGAAAAGCTGTTTCGATTATTATTATTACCAAATATATAGACTCCAATTACCGCTGCACCGCTATATATATATATATATATATATATATATATATATATATATATATACTAGTCTGTTTATTTGCCCTTTGATATCTCTATCAGTTAGTCAACCAACCTCTGTCTTCTAATCATTTTTACATTAATGTGACAATCTTGTTGATTCTGCTACTGCTTATTTTCTTTCCTCAAACAAACAAGAATTAATATGTTCTATTTATCATTTCAATGTATAGAGGAAGTGATGGAAGAGTTGAGCGGTATAAAAGGAATTCATAAACATAATGGTGTATATACTATTGATTGGTTTTAATTTTCATCTTATACATCAGACAAGTATGGTTTTTTCCCTTAACCCTAAAACGATAAATTTTGAAAGTATGACTGTGAATATTAAGAATTAGTGATTGATTCAAGTGTTATGGAAATGTTTACTCAATATAGTCTGGGTGCACACTTTTTCCGCCCAAATGTTTGGAAATGTTGCATGATGAAAAGAAAATTAACCATGTTTAAACTTGTTTCTAAACTGGTGACATGGTGATTTCTATAATTCACTGATATTAAAAAGGTAATCACTACAAAATATTGACTTTCATGTTTGTCTTTAGTAATAAACGATCATAACATTTTAAAATTATTTATCATTAAGTAACTGCTTTGAGTTGTACAAAATGGAAAGCTATGAGAAATTGTTTACTAATGTGTGGGAGGGTATAAATGATAAGTTTAAACTACAGATGCTTTAATGTTATTCGTTTCTGGATATAGTTTTATCTCATGAACTGACATATTAGCTGAGAGTTTACTGAAAACCAAGATAGCACGTCACAGATATTCCTTAACACTGTGCACTTTCTACTGCTCCAGAATTAAAAGTTAAGATATGTTTTCACCAGTCAATTGCAACTGAAAATATGGATTCTTGAATTCCGATATAGGACAGCTGACAGATTCATTCCAAGTAAGGACCGGAGTCAGACAAGGCTGTTTACTCTCTCCCTTCCTCTTTCTTGTGGTGGTCGACTGGATTATGAAAACCTCGACATCTGAAGGAAAACACGGAATACAATGGACAGCTCAGAATCAATTAGACGATTTGGACTTCGCAGATGACCTAGCCCTCCTATCACGTACACACGAACAGATGCAGATGAAGACAGCCAGTGTAACAGCAGTCTCTGCATCAGTAGGCCTCAGCATACACAAAGGGAAAACTAAGGTCCTCAAATTCAAAGCGGAGAACAGCAATCCAATCACTCTTGATGGCGAAACTCTGGAAGATGTAGAGTCCTTCACATACCTAGGAAGCATCATCGATGAACAAGGAGGTTCAGATGCAGACGTAAAGGTGAGGATCGGCAAAGCAAGGGTCGCATTCCTACAATTGACGAACATATGGAACTCAAAACAACTTTCAACCAATATCAAAGTGAGAATCTTCAATACGAACGTCAAGGCAGTCAGTTCTACTGTATGGAGCTGAAACTTGGAGAACTACAACAACCACAATCAAGAAAGTACAAGTATTTGTAAACAACTGTCTACGCAAGATACTCAACATCCATTGGCCGGATACCATAAGCAATAGTCTTTTGTGGGAGAGAACAAACCAACTTCCAGCTGAAGAAGAAATTAGGAAAAGACTATGGAAATGGATAGGACATACATTGTGGAAATCATCAAACTGCATCACGAGGCAAGCCCTAACTTGGAATCCTGAAGGGAAGGGGAAAAGAGGAAGGCCAAAGAACACATTACGTCGGATAATAGAAATAGATATGAAAAGGATGAATTATAACTGGACGGAGCTGGAAAGGATTGCTCAGGACAGGGTTGGATGGAGAATGCTGGTGAGCTGCCTATGCTCCTTCACGAGGAGTAACAGGTGTAAGTTATTGAAAGTAGATACAACTTGAATATCAAAAATGATGTCAATTTGTATTTGACTAGTTGTTTTATTTTTCTTAAATATAAGGTGCTGTAGACTTTGTGGACAAATCACTTAATCTCACCCATTAGTCTAGACGGAAAAATGTATTTATATGGAGATGGCTAGCTCATTTTAAGGGAATTTGTACAAGCAAACTGTGTTGTAAAAGAAGGTCTTTGACTTCCTACCTCCAACTTGTTCATTTTACTATGACAAATAAGATCTTCATCAAGCTTCGAAAATCGATCAAATTGATCATTATTTATCTTCAGTATGTACTTATAACCATACTCATAATATTAAATACAAAACATGACTTGAGAATTCATGTAAACAACTAAAAAATCTCCATCGTCTCGAAGTTATTTCTAATGGCAAGAACTGAAATGGTTGACGGATTATTCTATCACAATTTAAAGAAGTAGGTCATGACGGTCTAGCACACTGACTTTGTGGTATCCCTTATTTGCAGCGAAATAACATTGTGAAGAAATAGAAGACCACAAATGGGCCAGATTAACACATTCTGGTCTGACTTTTTTCATAAACACATCGAATTTGTACGTCATACCAGAATGAGGACTTAAACGGTGACTTAGATATGCGACATTTTGAAGTATGTTCAACGATGAAGATAAATGAGTCAGTAGTTACAAACTTCTACCTCTCGAGTTCTCATTAGATTAAGAATATGGCTGTATCGCCTTAGCTGTAACAATACTCTCATGTGAATAAACTGTGACAATCACTTTGATAGGACTCCCACCCACTGTTAAACAATTCCTACAAAAGTGGCTTTTCAAAGCTTAAACGTATTTTTAAAATAGTGTTAATCTTGACTAATAGATAACGAGATCATTTTACAATCTGGTTTCATATATATAGTATAACTGTTCAAGATTTTCCACAAAATTGACAACAATAAAACTTAATTTTGTGAATATATATAAAATTCTACAAATGATAATCGGTTTATTATAATCAAAGTATATTTATTTCAGAATAAACCAAATGATCGAAATGTAAATGTAATCGACGTAATAAAATTTCACGTTTCTTTTTTTTGTAACAAACTTATATATATGTTTATCAGTTTAGGGGTTGTGGAGATTGTTAAGTTTTTGATTGAGATCGTGAACCGATTGATGTTAGACCACCATTGAAAACCTGGAAGCACTGGACGGCTATTTTGTCCTATTGTGGGACTCCTCAGCAGTGCGCATCCACGATTTCATCATCATATCCTACATCTTTTCAATAATTAGGTGACTAAATTAAAATTTCTTTAAAGTTATTCAATTCAACATTGATGAGAGTCCCACAATAGGACGAAACGGCTGTTCAGTGCTTCCAGGTTTTCCATGGTGGTCTAACTCTGATTGACTCATAATCTCAACCATTGAAATTACTATAATACCCCTTCTGATATTAAAATTATTTCAAGTTGAGTTAAAAAAAACAATCGACTACTCATTACCTTTTAAGTGTGGTTATTAGATAGATTAATTTATTAAAGTGTACTTATTATATATAAATTTCATTCAATATGAATCTATGGTTATAATGTCACAGAACTTATTATTAATATTAGTTTAATAATAAGATAAAGGAACTAATAAAACATGATATTTATTTCGAAATTTGTTAACATGTAATAAGAAAAATAAATAAGGAAAAAAAGCAACGTATGTTAACACTTTTTCGACATATGATCTATTATCACCACATTGTAGGTAATTGTTATGAATGATAGTTTAATGACTTATGATAATGAATGAATACAATACTGCTTGACTGACAATGTACAATGATATAATGTGATCAAGTGATAACTGTTCAATAGAGTGAATTATTGATGTATGCCCAGGATAGAGTTGGACAGAGAATGCTGATAGGCAGCCTATACTCCACTACGAGGGATAACAGGCGTAAGTAAATAAGCTCTCAAAATGAACAAATATCAGAATACAAGATAGTCAGATGACCAAGAGTTTAGGTACTTACACACTGATTATTAAATACAAGAAATAAGTATGATAAAAATTCATTTGAAATAAGCTATTGAAAGATATGGAATTCGTAGGTCATTCAATGAAAAAAAAGCCTAATCATCAGGCTCTATTCTTCTATCATATCACTAATATTTGTAACTTAATTAAATAAGCATTATTAAAAAGTTTTAAGTTGATATTCTTGACTGAATTTCGATCAGCCTTGGTCGGCATGTGTGTTTTTTGCAGGGATTACCTTGATATAGCCATTTTACAAGTTTTTATTGAATAAATGAGAGGTGGATACCTGATATCGAGTTCCACTTAAAACATCAACACTAAGATGGAGGTATATCCGGTTGACAAGTCCCAAATAATAAAAAGGAATGCTTATCCTGGATTTCACTGCTAACCGAAATCCATCTACTCAGTTAATCGATAGATTTTAGTGGTAAGTATGGTTAATGAGCAATTGAGTTATTTGTCACTGTTACTTAAAAACAAGTTGAGGAAAGAAATATTTCTTTTCATTTTGGCCCTACAATGATATATGGATTTAACAGTTACCAATAAAATCAGTACGAAATAACTGGTGATAGATCAGTTGAACAATGTATCTCAATATTTTCTGAAAAATCAATAATCACTTATTAGCCTAAAGGATGAAAAATTTAATACAAATATAAGATTGTATATTAACA